TCATTGATTCGTAACGACTGTTACTGCTTTGATTCTGTCCATCTGTTCGTGAAGAGCTATGCTGCTCCTCATATCGCTCGATCACAGGGACTCCTCCCTGACTTGCTGGTTCCTTGTCGGATCTATGAGCCATATTGTTTCACCTTTTGTATTTTCAACACTAAACACCACTGTCCCACCGAGAGTGTCAAATTGTTTCGCGCGGGTTAGTCACTAACAATTAAAAAGGGATCAGACGATTGTGTAAGGGACAAACCTTTTGAGACAAAGTCCCAAAAAGGGCATTTTTTATTGGCGATGACTTTACAATTGGAAAGTAAAAACAGAATGCCTCCAAGGGGCGTAAGCACACGAGTTACTGTAAAAAAAAGTGTTTAAATCTAAACTAAGAAATTGAAAGTTACATATTCTCTATTTGAGAGTGTTTGATTCCCGGTTCTTTGCTCTATGTCTTTTTTTCCTTTTATACTCCCTGGATGATTTCTTCGTGATCAACTGCTTAAGAAACCGCTTGATCGCTCTATAACTGCCCACTTTCCTTGTAGTGGCCAACTTGTCATGGAACTGCCTTCTCTAACTGCCGTCACTACTTTTGTCGTTCAACCGTCTTCAATTGAATTCTTTGAATCATGGAACGTGATAGGACTACCCAATAACTGCTTCATTAACTGCACTTTCGGGTAACCATAACTTCTTATATTTGCTAAGATGTTGGGCGACTTGAATATTTGGACGAGAGCAGAGTCACAGCTCTGGGCGACTGCATGGCAATTTATTCGCTCAAATCTTGGGCGACTTGCAACCTTGGGCGATGGTATTTCCGCGTTCATGGGCTTCCTTATTTGGGCCTTTATCCTGCATTGCCTGACTGGGTCGTTCTTTGGGCTATTTGATTTTGGGGATCTTCCAATTGGGCTTCATTCCTTGGGTCATTCGAGTTGGGCTGAACTTTTTGTGTGTCAACATATCCAAATGTAGAGCTTTTCGAAATCTGAATTTCACAAACCTTATGAGCTGGATTATTATGGTTTCTAACTAATCATAGCATGATTTATGTAAAAATATGATTTATAGTTTTAACACCATATCCTTCCAATTTTGCAAGTGTCGTTTACGTAGTTACGGATGGGGTACTAATTTTCAAAGTTAAGTGATTAATCGCGACAGTTTTGAAGTTCAATTACTCCATAAGACCTTAAGAAAAAATTAGTGACCCATTAGGGAATTAGCCCATGAGATTACATGAAAGAAACCGAAGTTTCAACAGGCTTTATAAATTCGCTAGATGAAGGTATCATGGTTAAAATGTAAGGAAAAATAATGAATCTCATAGAATGTGTAGTTGAAAATGATTTTGAGAAAAGAAATTTTTAAAAAAAATCTATCCCAAAACAAATCCTTAATGGTACTTGAATAACTCAGTTTTCGACATTCATTTTCTTAGTTGAGCTCAACTCGATAAGATTTGTGAGTTAGTTGATTTGAAGAGGCGAGTCATTTTGAAACTAGCTTTTGAGCATTTTACATGTAGACTTGTAATTTTTACTTGTTTTTTAATCACACACTCTCCAAAAAATACTGTTTTTCACAAAATTTATTCACAGAAGATATCTATCAAACATGAGCTTAATATTTTATATTAGGTTTTGCTTTCTATGTTGCAGTAACTGCATACAAAATTAGAAGATGAAATAAAAGTAAATTTAACAAGAAAACGACTCATAATAGTTTTGACACTATTTGGCATAATAGTTTTGACACTATTTGGCGGAGTTGTACATCAAAACAACCTCAGAGTTTTTATCATTCCTAGATAAAGATTGACAAATTTATAAATAGATGGATATGTATGATTGATAAGTGAACAGTACTTGTACGGTCCATTAAAATATACTGTTGAAAATAAGAATTTGACAATTTATAATTTTTGCCAAATGTCGCTATCAATTGATGATTAGAGCATGAAAATATAAAGAAATTGAACTTAGGGTGTGTTTGATTACATTTATTTTTCATGGAAAATATCAATTTTTTATCCAAATTCCTACTTGGAGTGTTTGATTGCTATTTTTTTCCATGGAAAATATTTTCCAACTTTTGAAAATATGCCTAATTTTCCTTGTTTTTAAGGAAAATATTTTCCTTGGGTAGAGATGGTTTTTATTTTCCACAAAAGATGAAAAATATTTTCTTTTCTAGGTAATATTTTCCATACCAATCAAACACACTCTTAGTAAGTAAACGACGGGATAGAAGCTTTAAATGCAAAATATATTATTAATAATAATAAAATTAAAAAAATACTAACAATATTCTAGATTGCATCGTTAATAGGTCACGATCCAAGTGGTATGACATCCTAAATGAGTATGGAGTTAACAATTTACACCTAAAAAACATGCAACTTGGTCGAAAGAGTTTTTAGAAGCAAAATCTTACCGTTTAGTAGAGGAATTTCTCTGTCGTCCCCACTCTACTTGCTTTCTACACCTTTCCTTTAAGTAATATGCATTAAATTGAATAAAAATATAAACCTAGTTATTTAAGAAATAAAATTAAAGTCAGGTGACCAACATAGAATAAACCCATGAATTGAGTAACCTAAGTAAAAATTATCCTTTTATTTTTTTATTTTTTTAAATTCTAAAATATCCGCCGCCGGATGCGCGTCCTTGACATTTCGCCTTTCGGTCCTTTTCAGTTGATTTTGAACTTTGCTGTTATAATTTTGACTCTTATCACATGTCAATATTTTTAGAATTAAACTATTTGTACAATGTTAGTTGACAAACATTGTTGGCAATGTTGGAGGTGACGAAATCCGGACTAATGATTTAAGAAACAGTTTTTGACTATTTAAAAAATGAATGGATGTGATGATACTAACAAAGATTGTCATCCATGATTGTACAAATAAGATTGTACAAATAACATAATTGATATTTTTATGTGACTTTTTTAAGAATGTCCAATCTTAAGAGTATGTGTTGAAAAATATCCACTCATTTGAATTTAGTGTCAACTTGTCTATTATGCCCTTAATGAAAAGCTACATTTTGAAATGGTATTCTCGATATTTTAAATGTCGTTCTTGACATTTGATTTTTTTATCAATTTGTCACGAATTTTGAGAAGTGACTTCTATGAGAAACTACATTAAAATAATGCTTCTTGACATTTCACATGTCATTCTCGACATTTCAACACCGTTTTATGTGTCTAGAATGACATTTCATTTTGAACATGGCATTTCTCTATATTTAAAAATGTCGTTCTCGACATTTTTAATCAATGAAAAACATAGCATTTATTGTGATTTGAAATGTATAATTTTTGAAATAAATATGGCAGGTTATGTGTCAAAATTTTATTGACCCATAACAATATTGCAAGAATGTCTATTTTTTTTTTTTTTGGTCTTAGTGTGGAATTATAAATTGTAAATAAGGGTATTTTGGTCTAAATTCTTCCAAATTAGATATTTTTGCAATGGTGGGCATTTTTGCAAATGACTAGGTAAAAATGGACATTTTGTGAAATTTCCTCTATTTTTATGCATAAGTTAGAATGTTGCAATTTTTAAGGGCTATATTTGGTGTACATAATTTGAGTACATAGTGATGTCCACGCCCCTCACATGGGGTGCGACCTGATAGTATCCACACCCCTCACAAGGGGTCTGATTTTGCTAAAAATAGTTTTTATTAAATTTTAACTAAACTTAATGAAATATTTAATTAAAAATTTGATAAAAAGTTGAATCTCATGTGATTTAAAATAATTTTTATTTTTATTCAAATTCTAAATAACATTTTAAGCAAAAGCAAACAAAGGCTATATTTTGGTGAAAAGGAAGACACAAAAACAAAAATGACTAGTGAAACCTAACAAACGCTACTCTAGTCATGTAAGTTAGTAGTAGATTAATAACAATCATGTTAAACGTACTGTACATCATACTTTACATTAAATTTGACATCATGTGAGTTGACAAATTTTTATCCATTAATTTTGACTTTTTTTCTTTTTTTCCAATCAGTAGTCAAATTAATGTGAGTTAACAGGCGTAATAAATAACTTCGTTTGATACCACATGAATACTTGACGGCGGCACGTAGGATTAATATTAATTAATGTAACATTTAGAATATTAATTAATGTAACATTTAGAATTACATTATTGTCCGTGGTACCATCTTGCACATTTACGTAATTACCATTTTCCTGCCGGCAATGTAGAAATTTCAATGTCGCGTACTTTAGCTTATAGAGAAGTTCGAATTCAATTCTATCACAAATTTTTCGGAAGAGTTTTGAGCCACGACATCATATGACCATTTGTCACTTGTTCAACAAAGGCTTCGCGGAGAAAAATCGAATCCTACTTTTCCACCTTCTTTTTGTATATATATCTCCAAATCCAAATCACATGCACAGAAAATAGTTCAATATTCAGAATCCATGGCGGCCTCCCCTCTGATGCTTCAGAAGTGTCCCCCTTCTCTTCTTTCAACAACTTCACTTTATCATTCAAGAAATTATGAAGCTAAAACCAGAATCAGAGTCAGACCCATTTCTTTATCCATAGTTAATGCTCAAAATAGTGTTAAGAAGGAAGATATAGTCATCATTGGGGCCGGAATTGCTGGCCTTGCCACTGCAGTCTCGCTTCAAAGGTTAGAATCGCCTCTCAGAAATTGTTATGCTTGTTTTGGAAATTAATGAATTGTATTAAAAAAAGTAATTTTTATTCGAACAAGTAACAGATTATTTTCTTTTCTTTTCCTTAATGTGAATTCTTGTACCTAGGCTTGGCATTCGGTCCCTTGTGCTTGAGCAAACCGAGACACTAAGGACTGAAGGAACTTCATTAACACTTTTTAAAAATGGATGGAAAGCCCTGGATGCTATTGGAGTGGGCGGTAATCTTAGAAGCCAATATCTTGAAATTCAAGGGTATGGTCATGCTATCTTGATTTCATATTTTGCTCCCTGATTGACAGAAGGTTTGGTGAATCTTTTAATGGTTGTGTAATAATGTAAGTAGAAATCTTAATACTGTCACGAGTTTGGAGGAATGCAACGGTTAATGGAAAATTGCCTATGCACGGCTATATATAAGGCCTTCCAAATTTCAGTCCACACACCAATTAACAAAATAATTCTTTTATTTCTTGGTAAAAATTCTGCTTCAAAGGTCACTTTATATGTTGCTTCTATTCAAACGAAAATTTCCCACTATCTTAGTAAACAGTTGCTCAAGACCTTTGTGTTTAAACTCATATTTATTCATATTTACATTAGTAAAATTTGCTGTATGAATCCTAGCATAACATAGGGACAACAAAAGCCCTTCTAATGATTTTGAATTTAACTTGTTTCAGTATCATCCAAGGATAGTTTGGAAAGACTCAAATCCTGACTGAAGTTACTTCTTTCTAGAACAAATAGTGTTTCTGTTAAAGATCGTTCCGTACCTTTCTAAAAAACCGATCATTGTTTACCAACCACACATTGTCTAGCACGTATTTTGAGTCTCGCGTGTCTACCATTTCACCACCAAGGCATCTTCAAAGTGAATCATATTCTATGAATATGATATCTATCTAGTTTGATGTATTCCATAACCATCTGAAAATTTGATGGAGTTTTAATGCGTTGAATGCTAAAACATTTCTGTATTTAGGATCGAAATATAACTGCATACAACTTATATATGCTGAAAAGATAAATAAAGAAGCTTTTCAGTACTAGACTAACTAAGTAAACAGCCATGTGCTCTTTCATATCCAAGGCATCCCCTACAAAGTTGAGGGCATCTATCAATAACTTTATTAAGGAGTGGATAACTTTTGACGATCCGTTCTTGTCCCTGCATCTGATACATGGGCGTCGTTTTATTTGTTGCTGGCAACATCTATAATCTCAGTATATCAGAGTGCTTTCTTTTTCATATACCAGTTTCTTTACTGTCTAGTGAATATATTTGGAAAATGCACATGCATGTATGTTTGTTTTCCAGTTTGCGTTCAGATTAATTTGGGCTCTAAGAGAATCTCTGTTTGTACAAACTCCTATGTTTTTAGAGTCTTAAGTTATGGTTGCACAAAATCATGTCCCAGATATACCTTCAAATCAGGGTCGGCCATGATATTTTGGGTGGCCTTATGCAAACTTCAAATATGGGGCCCAATGAATATTAAGCCCGTATTTGATAGAGATTAAAATAATCTTTTGATTAAAGTTGAGGGAATGTATAGTTGAAAAGTTGTAGGTTTTATGAAATGTGTGGTTAAAATTAATTGTTGACTTTGACTTAGAAAACAATTAAATACAATTAAAAAATAATTAAACATAATCAGGAAATTTGGAAGACAAATACAAGGTTTAAACTCCAGTACAAACATAAAAAAAAAAACGGAAAAAAGAATAATATGTGGCTCCGAAAAATCCCAAACCAAATTACATAATACATAGAGAAGCATTAGTTGGGAAGATAAATGGTCAAATTAATTATATATACTATATAGAGAAAGCAATGACTGTGATATATTTATGAGATATATAAATGCATGTGATAAATTTTATGCCATTTATATGATTTTTTTTAGATATGTTTGTATTTTCAAATTTTATTAGTTTCTCGTGTTTGCATATGATAATTCTAATTTAAAGAATTTCGTAATTATCATTTTCATTTTTCTCCAACTGATCAATTAATCGTACATAATTTGGAGCTCTCATCAAAGCGGGCCTTCGGCTATCGCCTTTGATGCCTATAGTTAGGGCCAGCCCTGCTTCAAATGCTCAAAAAGGTACTTGTATATTCTGAAATTCATGATATTATAATTAGATAATGATTTTGTGAAAAGAGAATTTATTGCCCTTTAGTGTTTTTTGCCAAAGGCCAAAAAAACAGTATTAGCTTTTACGAGACTTTGGTATTTCCGCATCTTTTCATGTGACCAGCTGTGCAGGATGGTGATAAAATCAGAAGACGGAAAAGAGTTGGGCTCTTTCAATTTCAAAGATGAAGATGAAAGGTAACTGTGCCTGATGTTCGGGTTGGCATGTGGATATACAAAATTAAATTTCTGCATTTCACTGACTTTACTTTTTGGTATCAGTCAAGAAGTGCGTGCTATAGAGAGAAAAGTTTTATTGGAAGCTCTTGCTAACCAGTTACCATCAGATGCAATTTCTTTTTCCTCAAAGCTGTCATATATTGAAAGAGGTGACAAAGGAGAAACCTTGCTAAAACTCAAGGATGGTACTCAAATGTCTGCTAAGGTAGCTTGATCTACATGTTAATTCATATTAAATTTATTGCTGGAATCTAAAAGATTTCGATAACCTTCACCCACATAGACTAGGCTCATGGTGCAAATTTGAGCTTGATAATTTGCGTGCGTAGATCAATTCCAATTGAGTTCGTATCTAGTTTCTAACAATTGTCTTGGAGAAAACACGTTCCCCTCAATGTGGTCTTAACAATGGCTATTTACTTGGGTGAGCATTATAGAAGCATCATATTCCTTGCTAATCTTGCACGCTCAAAAGTGTTAACTATAATTTTTGGGGTCTACTTATAATCACTGAAAGTTTCTTATGAATTCACCTTCGGTTAGATTGTGATTGCCTGTGATGGGATACGATCTCCAGTGGCTAAGTGGATGGGGTTTCCAGAGCCTAGATATGTGGGGCATATTGCTTTTCGTGGCCTCGGATTTTACCCTGAAGGACAACCATTTGAGCAGAAAGTGATTTACACCTATGGAAGAGGTGTGCGTGCTGGTTATGTGCCAGTTTCTCCAACAAAGGTTTACTGGTTTATCATCAACAACAGCCCAACACCAGGTAAATCAATAATTCACAACATCTTCTCTTGCATTTCATTTTTGCTTATTTTATAGATTTGCTTATCTTGAAGTAGTGGTGTCAGTAGGGTTGAGCCGAGTCAGGCTGGGTTGCAGAGATACCTGGACCGGCCTGGATCTTGTGGTGGATCCGTATTTTTTATTCAAATTTTAGGCCGTGCAGGCCAGGCCAGGCCAGAATTGCCATGCCTGGCCTGGGCAGGCAAGACACTTCGACTCCACCATCTGGAAGTCAACTAGCATAAATGTTCTTGTCCCTTATTAATCAATTTTTTTACCTTGCAAGTCTTAATAAAGCCTATGCAATCCCTTTAATATGGAAAAACTTTTTAACGTTCAATGAATGACTTCACAGCCACGTGCTCGTTAAATTTCCGACCTAATATTCTTTTTCTGATATCATATGATGTCAGTTCTAACAACAATTATCTAGGTATAAAATTGTGTTTGAAACCTGTCATTTTCTCTGAGTATTCAATTAGCTAGTATTATAGTTAAAATTGCATGCAAAGCAATCCAAGAAGATACTTTGTTACAGTCAAATAGAGATAGATATGTGAAGCCAAGCCTTTTCTCATGTGTTACAACACCTCATTTAAAAGTTTAAACCGTTAAAAATTACATATAGCTTAAATGTATACAATATTCGTAAATGGGTTATGGAACTTATCGAGTATTTGTTATGCTGAACCAACCTATCTAACAGCTTGAGTTATTATGGAGATGACAAACATATTTAAATACTATCTTCAGCATGATTGTTTTTGTTTGTCCAATGACAGGCCCAAAGATCACAGATCCATCTTTGTTGAGGCAAATAACCAAGGAACTTCTTGGTAACTGGTCAACTGAGCTCTTGAATATAATGAAATCTACACCAGATGACAGGATCATAAGAACCCCACTGGTAGATCGGTGGCCGTGGCCTGGAATCAGCCCTCCTGCATCAACTGGGGCGGTTGTGCTCGTTGGCGATGCATGGCATCCGATGACACCCAATCTTGGGCAAGGAGCGTGCTGTGCTTTGGAAGATGCAGTCGTTTTGGCAAAAAAACTTGCACAAGCAATCAACCTTGGAACCATGTCAATCGAAGATGCATTCACGTCTTATGGACGAGAAAGGTGGCCTCGTATCTTTCCATTATCTGTACGTGCAAATCTTGTTGGAGCTTTCTTACAGTCTGATAATCCTTTGGTATGTTTTATTCGTAACAACATTGTTGTTCCTAAGCTGGTTAGAGGTGGACCAATGTTGGAACATGCGAATTTTGAATTTGAGTCTCTATATTAACACTAAATCCCTCAAAAACAAGATTGTGAGGAATTTCAGTAACACTTGTGGTCTTGTGCTAGGTGTTACATTGTGTGTCTATTTACCTATTCCCTCCGTTGCCGCCGATCTACATGCATCAAGTCACCTTAATATTCTTACCCCTACTATTTAGAGTTAACCCCCTTTTTTAGAATAATAGAATATTAGAGTTGTCGTACTTGGTATTAGGTTTTAATGTTGGGTTGTGTGTCCATGTATTGTAATTTTGACTTTTTTGATAATAAATAAATCGTGATTTTTATTTATTTTGTATGATTGTTTTTATTTAATAGGATCTACGCAGCTCAAGCGGACCCAGATTTGCATGGGTTACGCACAGATCCGAGTCGACCTTGGAGGGGACCCAATCCACGTTGCATGGGTCGGGTCGCCTCTAGATGGGCTTGGTTCAGAATTACTTATGCGGCTACAATAGTTAAGTCTGATTGATGTTTAAATTGTTACCACTAGATCATTGGATATTTCTAGATTGAAAATTCAGATTAAATATTGGGCTTGAGCCCAATAAATTTTTAATTTAATTTTTGAAATGTTTTTGGGTCGCAAATAATTTTTAATTTATTTCTTATGAATGCTCTAAATTGTTGTTTGAAATATTTTCATTCTAGACATCATGACTATAAATTTATATGTGACATCGTTTGTGAAACTGTGGATATGATGCATGTCATTGAATATCGATTTTTCTTTGATTAATTTAATCTAAATAAAAATTTCAAAAGGAAAGTTTGTAATAATTTAATTGTATGTAATATGATGTGAACGTTCGGTAAATTCACTACAAAATATCAGGTGCGAGAGACTGTTTATATATATAAAAACACGTGATCTACTTTGGTGAATCCATAAACAAAGTAACACTAGCCTCATGATAATAATGCAATGGATTTCCCATAGGAGAGTCACATACTTCAAGTTATTTGATTGGATTCATTTACAAAAAGATAAACGTGATAGAATATAATTTGGAATCACCCTATACAGATGACAAAAGTATTTATCTAGACAAATGTTATATACACTAATTGAGATCATTTACGAATCTCTAATAGAGGCTCTCGTTTATGACTTTGGTAACCAAATATACTAGACTTGTCAAGACATATTTGGTTATAAATGATTTGTCTAATGAAAGGGTCATAACTTGAGTAGTGGACACTTTGATTTTTCCTAATGAGAGAGATGTTGAATCACAAGGATCAAGTGGTCATTACATTATTGTAGTTTTAATAATCTACATATGCATTCATACATCATATGAATTGTCATTTCCCTACTCAACTTTAATATGCAAATTTGGTTACTTTTTAGCAAAATATCTCTTGATCCATTCTCCACTATTCTAAAACAAAATCAACTTACCAGAGAAAATTATGTGGATTAGAACATAATTCGATGTTTGTGCTTATTTTGGAGAAATTTAATGTTGTGCAAGATCAAGAATGTCCTATGGAACCTACTGAAATCAATGTAAGTCCAAAAGGGCTGGCATATAATAAGTGGATGAATGCAGAAAAGATGTCTCACTGCTACAATTTGACATCCATCTCAAATGTGTTGCAACATAAGATTGAATATCCAGGTTCCTCTTATGACATATTGCAGACCTTCAAGACATGTTTGGACATCAAATTAGGCTGGCTAGTTTTAAAGCCTTTCATACCTTATAGAATATCCTCGTGAAAATTGTAACGCTCGTGAAGGATCATATATTGACAATTATTGTATATTTCAACATGGCGGAGAATCAACGTGCTAGCACTGACTTGAAGATTCATATTGATATGGTATTGAATTTTTTATCAGATTTGTTCTCATAGTTTATGTATACTATTAGTTGCACAAGATAAAAATGATGTTAACCGAGCTGAAAATGAGTTGCAAAATGTTGGAAATGCTCATACAACATTTGGTTCCAAGCCAAAAAGAAGAAAATGGAAAGGAGAAAGAAAGATAACAAGAAGTAAGGGAGTATCAAAAAGTCCAAAGTAGATAGAATGCCGATAGGCAAGTGTTTCAACTGCGATAAAAGAAGGACATCGGAATAAAGACTATCTTTACTCACTAGCTAAAAAGTAAGATGATACGAGTTTTTTATTGTTGAGACTTGTTTACTGGTCTTCTACAAATTCCAGAGTTGTAAACTTTGGGATTACTAATCATATATGAATGCCGGTACAGGCTCTTCAACATAGTAGAAAATTCAATGAAAGCCAATTTACTATCACCATTCAGACATGAGAAGTAGTTCCAACAAGAACTGTAGGAATAGTTTATTTTTATTTCAGTAGTGGTAGGTGTTTAATTTTTAAAGAGTATTATTATGTCTTGCAGATAAAGTGAAATTTGATTTTTGTAACCTTTTTAATAGGACAAAGTTATGTTATAAATTCGGTGCTTGATGTAGTTCCAATTTGTGATGGATATTTCATGAATGATTTTTATATTTAAAATTTTTCCATAAATGAAATGAGTTTTGTCTTTGTACACCTTAATTATAAGTAAATAATATTAGTGATACATGATAAATGTATTTTATACACTTATTTATCTCGTTAAATTAGATTAATTGTTGTTGATGTTGATGAATTATGGCTTAATTCATAATATATTTCATTTGTTAAGAGTAGCTCGATGTAAAATGATGGAATTGTACGAAAGAAGAGAAAAATGAGCTAAAATGGAAGAAATTTAAATTTTAGGGACTAAAATACTAACTTTTAAAGAGATGAATCAGGCTGTATATCAAGTATTTGGGAGTGCTAGTATTCAATTAAATGCAAAAGAAAGAAAAATGACTAAAAGAAACGAACAAGGACCAAATGTACATTATGAAAAGTTCAGGGACCAAATTATAAAATTAGCCCCAAAATACCCTACCTCACACACATTTTTCCAAACCGTAGACCAATTGGGCATAGGAATGGATGCACGCCAGGATACACCATGCATGTGTGTGGTGCAAATTGAATGCTAACGTGTTGGTTTCCTTTTTTGATACAAACGCTGTATGATATGGACTTCTAGCATCTTTTTCATCAAAGGAATGCTGTTAAGGATGCGAGAATGCCACTACGTTGGAGCGCAAGGAAGAGGTTTAGCACAAGAAACAAAGGCAATTAACACAAGAAATTGAAGACTCAAGGATCGGTTTCAATATTCAAGAACAAGAAATTGATTATTTAAGATTCTTCTATTGTTAATATCTTTTCAAATCTTTTGTATAATTTACATACAAATATGCTAGATTAAATTCTCACTTATATTGGATGAAGACGAATTTTTGTTTATTTATTTTTAGTTCAAAGACAAGTCGTTTAGTAATTTTTGTGTTTCTTGATTAATTTTGTATTCTCATTATATTATTTAATTTTTTGATCATCAATTAGATAATTAGTTGTTTATTGTAATGTTTAGATGCTCACAATAGGTTTAGAATACTGTAAGGTTACCACACGGGCAATATAAGTTAGGAATAGAATGTATGACATGTGCAATCTCTTTGATAATCATGTGCTTAATATATGTTGTTCATATGAATTTGAACTATGAATGGAATCAAGTCATGTTTAGGATAGACTTAATTTATCTTGAAAAAAAAAGTTGAATACAATAAAATAATCAATTGTCATGAATGGAACTGACTTATATAGTTGAGAATTGAAAATAGATAACAATAAGGGAATTTGCAATACATTCATTCCACGTAAGTACAAACCAATGCATTTACATATGCATTAGATTAAGTTACAATAATACAAATTTGGTAGAAAACAAGTATGCTTTAAGTTAGATTTTATTTCTCACAACACAATCACTCTACTCATCACGTGTTACTTGTCAGTGATCTTATATAGGGTTGGACAAAAATCTCGAACCAAACCGAGCAATTCTTTTTAAGTTAAATACTTGAATTGGTTATTCGAGTCGAGAACCGACGTGTTTGATTTAGTTCTCCATTTTATTTTAAATAATCTAAATTATTTTTTAAATAAATTTACTAATTAGTTAATTTACCCTAAACCCAAAAAATATATTTTTTTATTTCTAATTTTCTCCCAAACCCAATTTAATCAAATTAATCTAAGTTTTACCCAAATCTCTTCTTCAACCGTAGTGTCGTTTCTACCGTTTTGGAGAAATCGAATTGAAAACTTAGTTGCACCTTTCTTTATTATTGTAAACTTGCTATTTTCCTCTTCCTACGATTTTAAAAGTTAAATTTATAAATAACCCAACAAAGAGAGGCGCATAAAATATCACAAGACTGGACTATGCTATTTTGTAAGAGAAAAATTATTGTATGAAACTCAGGAACCAAACCGAACGGAACTGAACCCGAGTGGTTTCATAATTAAATTTGGATCTGACAGTTTCATTTACTAAATACCTTAAAATTCAGGTTCGGTTCTAAAAAGAACTGAACTGATCTGAACCATATCCGGCCCTAATCTCATATGCTTGCGAAAATTGTCTGAATAATATATATATACGCCACTTAAACCTAGACACATCAACCTTATCAAGATTAGAAAAATGGCAAGAGATGATCCTTTTAACACACTTAAGGTCGAACCATTATCGGGTTGCGTTTCTTATTTAAAGGGTAAAATGAACAAGAAATCATTTTCGATAAAAAGATATAAAGTCAAAGAAGTACTGGAACTAGTTTATTGTGATGTATATGGATTGATGAGTCCACTTGTGAGAGGAGGCTATGAATATTTTATAACATTTACAGATGATTGCTCTGAATATCTCATTTTAGGGATATGCACCGAAGACAACTGCATATATTTTTCACTTAGTTCCTTCGAAGTCTTGGATTCTCATGTAACAGTGAAATAGGTGTAATTCCATCTTGCATCACATCCAAATTTCGGATTTTCGGCTCATGTGTTGAAAGAAAAGACGAAAATGTTGAAATTAAGGTTAAAAGTATGCATGTTTGTGGGATATTCCAAGGGTACGAGGGATATTATTTTTATAGTCCTCTAAGTATGAAAGTTTTTGTTTGCAAAAATTCAACTTTCCTGGAGGACAAGCTAATATTTTTCTCTACGTTGAGTTGCTTAATATTTGATGTCTTTTGATTAAAATATGTGTTCTTGTAATAGGATCGCCTTTGGTAGAATTATTGCGCGGAAGTCCTAGTGTGGGACAATCCACTTTGACTAGTTTTAAATTATTTCTTTTCGATGAACTTTTAATATACTTTTTATTCAAATTTTGTAAAACGGGTCTA